TTCTTCCCGAACCCCTTACAATGGATCTCTTCAGTGACAGTCTTGTGATCTCAGGACTTTGTACCAGAACGTTTCATCCAATTTCTACTGATCTGATTTTCAACAGGAAACAACATTTTCTTGATACTGCTACAAATTCTATTTGTTCTTGTACTTCCTTCCCATGTTGTGTCTTCAGCAAATACAAATAGCACTTCATTTTTTTTTACAAGTTCATTAATAAAACCTTTGAGTGAGCGGCAGTTGAGGCAAATGTGTGCAGCATGCAATGAGCGATCAGATAGATTAAGTCTCATGCACTTCCCCAGAGTTTGTTGTGATCCAAGACAAAGAAGCCTTTGGAATAAACTAACTCCAGGGTTATGCATCACCAGAAAGTTAACTTTCCGGATTGCTCTCTAATACTTAAGTGTTTATACTTTGCCAAGATCCAACTTAAATAAAATAACATGAGCATAATGTGGATGGATTGAGACTACCTGGGAACAGAAATAAAAGATTTGTCTCATGAGCAGAGAATCATTTTATTCTTGTAAATGGTAAAAGGGATAAAAAAGGGAGTGAAAATGCATCAGACTATTCTCGTTGGAAAGGTAGAGGAGTTTAGCCCAGAGTCTACCAGGTACCTCCTTCCTTTTGCAAGTTCTTATGGTTCGGTATGGGCTGTGTATACAAGCAATGGCTGTAAACACATTCCTGATGCCCAGTGTATGCATCTGCAGTGTGCATCTTCTACATGAAAACAGTAAAAGAGAAGACTGTAGACAAATGAAAATCTACCATTCAGTTACTCTTATTCAGTGATACAATAGACAAAACTAGATTTTTTCATTTCTTAATATTTCATATCATCACTGACTCCATCATTATCAAACTCCCAGTATAATAATAAAATTGGTCGATGAGAGAATTGATCACACATGAAAGTTATGCATTTTGAGGAGTCTCTTCTACATTTGTATTTTATCAAATAGTTCTTCATGATGTTCTATAATACAAAATTGAATATTTCTATCTCCATTGTGTGTTCTTATTCGTGAGTTAGGCATTAATCGTTAAACAATGTACCTGCTTGTTTATTTATTTTAGATGTGATTATTTATATTCCGAGTATCCTACAAGGTCCTTAACTGCATTGCCTAACCATTTTTATGAGTTTCAGATTGCGTGGGGAGAAGGGGAAGGTTAAATTATTGAACTCATTTCCTTATTCTTGTGCTAGAAACCATTTTCTTTATTATTTTATTAAAAAATAGATTGATTTTTTTAAAAGATAAGAAATAAAAGGGCTATAAAAATATGTGTTTACATCTACTGTTCTTTCAGTTATACTGGAATGTGTTTAGAGCAACTCCACTTTGATATAAATGATATATGTGTATTTAAAACATGTTCCTATTCCTATTGATGACTATTTGACTGGCTGAATTTTAAAGCATGTTTTATATGCTTTGCCAAATCTGTTTTGCATTAAGGAGTGGAATTTGTCTGATCAGTTGTATATGTTAGCTGTATCACTGTTATTTGTCTAGATTCTTCCCATACTTACTGAAAAGAAATAGGTAAATTTAGATAATAATTTATCTATACGAATATTCATTCAATAATTTAGATCGCAATTCAATACAATTTGTTGTACCTTTAAGGAAATGTCTGAGATAGGTCAGATAGATAGATAAATAATGCAGAAACAATACTTTGTTCTTTTCATTAGTTAGAGTAACTGTTTCAGACTCACTTTGTAAAACTATAAAGTTTGTTGAGTAAGAGGAATTTTCTCCTCTCCCCCAGGCTTCTCTCCATTGTTTTGGGACCAATACTAGATGTTCAAAACAACAAGCAATGTCACTTTACTAATGAGAGATGGTCTATAATAATGATAGCATGTAATGAGACTATTAAGATTACTTTGAGTATGTTTGTGTTTAGCTTTTAGCAAATGCCACATTAATTGTGAGCTATATATTTACAGAAGCTTGAACAAGTGTAGATAGAGCAAAGACCTTCTACAATTCATAAGGCTTTTAAGGCTCCATGGAAAGTAAACTTTACCTGAGTATTTACTAAGCAATATGGTGTGCTTTTGCAAGTACTTTTGCTTTTTCCATCTGGATAATTTGACCTAAAATTTACTGCAGACTGTCATTTAGTAACAGAAAAAAATCTTTGCTTATTTGTCTTAGCCTGAGGTCTTAGATCAAATCTGTGATTGAAAATTGATCCATGCATGGTGTAAGAATCTTCATTTGGATCAGGTATTAGAATACCTGGCTGGATTTTTATCATCGTTATTTTTAAAATTACCAGGATAATTTTAGATATTTACCATAAGATAACTATAAAGATAGCTAGGCAACGGACTGACTAATCCTACCCAGTTTACTCATCTATCTCTGTCTCCCTCTGATTTTTTCAATGATTTTTGATTCCACTCATGTATCACAGAAGACTAATAAGCTTCAAGATGTGTCTCTTTCTGTAAAAGACATCATGGTATTTTATCTACATTCTCTTTTCATGCTGGAGTCTTCACATGGAATACGAAAAAAAATATTGGAAAAAAACCTAGGAATAACACTCAGAGAGATATTTATCTTTCCTTACTTTAGATGTCTATAGTGTAGAAATCTGTAGCTCATCTCCTTGATCTAAATACTTTTGGAATCAATTAATCCCAGCTCTCTTATATGGCCTATTTTTGAGGCCTGCTTCAGAACAGAGAAATATCACCTAAGCAATGCCTATTTTTCTCCATTGATTATAAAATTGAAAATGATTATGAAGTTGTAAATGGGCACCTCAGATACAGTTGTTCAGAATTTATGTTTGATCAGGTAAATCCTTATTAGAAGTATTTACTTTTTCCATAGCACATGCAGCAATAGGCTGAGTTCACACATAGAAAAGTAGGCTGATTTAAATCAAGGTTTAGAGGTTTCAGACAAAATATTAAGCAATTTTTCTTCAAACCAGTAGTGGGTCAACCGGCCTGTTCTTTGTTATATTGTCATGAGGGAATGTGCAAACCAATAATCGTTTCCTCACATCTCTGATGGTTTCATTTTGGAACTTGCTCCCTCAATATTGACCACAGTTGACCACAGCAGCTCTTAGGGCTACGGATTTCAGACGGTGCAGCTGGTCTGGGAGAATACAGAAGGATGGAGAACTAGATAGAGCCAGAATCATGCAATAATAATAATGCAAGTCCCAATGATAGTAAAAAAGCACAATTAAAATTAACTATCGACTTTAGAGGAGAGGATTTATTGGACTTTTACCTCTGAGTCCCTGGTTTGAATCCGTATCTAACAAGACTGACCAAATGTCACTCTAATTAGATGGTGATAAAAGTTCCAGAGTAAAAAGATTTCCACAGTCTGAACTCAACTCCGAGTGGACATTTGTCTTTATTATAAGCCCAGCATATATTTGGCACAGTCTATACTTCTGCATTTAAAAGAGGCTCCTAAGTTAATGAATATGAAGACTGAAACATTTGCCTAGTGCTCCATACCACATATCCCAGACTAGGATGGGGTAGAAAGTGAGGAACTTCATCCTCAACATACTTTCTTCTCCCTACTTCACAAACAGTTTGGATTTGCTTCTAGTAGATGTTTCATTTACTTAAAACAAATTAAAAGAAATTCATTTGACAAAATGTGCAAGTGACAACGTTCTCAAGTAATACACTGGTTAATAAAATGAAAATAAAAATTATTTCAAATTTTGAAATCTCTCCTCTCCTCTCCTCTCCTCTGCTCTGCTCCTGTTCTCTCCCCTCCCCTCTCCTCTCCTGTCCAAGAAAGAAATAACTTTGGCAGTTTTGTAACTGCAGTTTATTTAACAGGAACAAAACAGATTTATTTCCAGAGGCTCTTGTTGAGTCCTCTTCCCAGTTACAGTGGTTGTCTTTAATGGCAAATGCTTTGCACTAAAGTTTATAAAGGCATTTATTGGATGAGAATCAATTATTGGAAATATAGGTCTGAAATCTGCTAGCCATATTTCAATCCAGGAATCTGAGATGCTGTCGGATACCATCTCTTTCTTCAAAGGACTGACAAACTAGGGCTGGGAATAGGATGCAGGGAAAATAATTACATCAGGAAGTTGCATCAAAATTTTCAAAAGGATTGGGCTTGGACATCAGAGAGCACAAAGAACGGTAGAGCCTGACGGGCTGGAAAATAGCCTGATAGGCCAAACTAGGTAACCCCTTCCAGAGATCACCTTCAAGTTTTCCAGTCAAGGACACAATCCGTTAACAATCAGAAGGTTTAGATTCGCACTTCTATAGCTCGGAGCTCACTCATTTAAGTGGGATTCCTGC